CAGGGCTGTCATATCATCTCTGGACCTTCTCTTCTCCAGGCTAAACATACCCAGCTCCCTAAGTCTTTCCTCATAAGGCATGGTTTCCAGATCCTTTGTCAACAATTTGTCAACATCCTTTTTTAACTTTGGGGCCCAGAACTGGACACAGTATTCCAGGTGAAGCCTGACGGAAGCAGAATAGAGTGGAACTATTAGTTCCTTTGATCTAGGCACTATAATTCTATTGATGCAGCCTAGAATCACATTGCTTTAAAATAACTTTGCTTTATTTGAATTTGCTTCAATTTAATTTACTTAAAAACCCCCAGAAAATATTAGGTAGGGAAGTCTGAATTGCTGAATACCAAATTCTGTAAGCATTTGCAATTTGAAAGTGAAGAAAGGGTATCAAGAGTGTTGCCCTATGTCTAGAAACCTTGGAGTAAGGAATGCTTGATTTGGAGTACACTTAGAGAGGATTATGGTGTGAGGTTCTGCACACTTACTAGGAGTGAATTCCCCTCTGAAATCACCTGGAACTTATTTCTGAGAAAACATGCATGGGGTTGTGCCACCTGAGATACCAAACAAATGAACTGTACTGAGAAAAAGGTTTCACAATAGTTGCAAAAATAAACCAAGAAAGAATATTGCAAAGCAACATGAACTAGCCAAAAAAAGATCTTTGTTTTCAATGTTCTAAAATGAAGCAATATACAGTTGTCTGTCACTGAGAATTAACCAATACCCAAATGACTGTCATTCCACAATTGTACCATTGTATAATAGCATTTTACCAGCACGTACTGTGGCACTGGGCATGAATTATGTTTGAACCCTTGGTTGCTCTACCAAGACATACTTATCATATTTACAGTTGGCAACTGAATGGTGGTGCAGTTTGATAACTTGAAACCCTGCATTTAATTAGAGATGGGCTGAAATTTCTTTAGCTAGAAAGGTGTATTATTTCAGTTGCATACCTTGTCCTGGTACTGGTAACTATCCCGATTTGGCAAGGACAATCCTGATTAATCCTCCCTTCCCAGCAGACTCAGGCCAAAACAACAACAACAACAACAACAACAAAATTGGACAAATGTGGCCTAGCAACATCAGAATGTGGTCAAACTGGAAGAACGCACATACTATTCTGCAGCAGTTTGGTTTTGCCTCAACCTACTGAGAAGGACAAGATTCAACCCCCCCTTCTCCCCTCTCGTCCCACTGAGTTAACAGATTGCATTTTTGCATTTTGAACTTAGTTTGCAGCAACTGAAGCAAGCCAAGGACAAAGGAAGAAATGAGAGAAGAGAAAAACTGGGACATTTAAAAGCAGCTGAAAAGTGGGATGACAGGGGATTAACTGGCACTGTCCCTGGATGGGGCATTTGGAGGGTATGCTCTCCTGTCAACAGTCCCATTATTTTCCTCATGTGGAAAGTGATGAGCCTGGACAACTGCCATTAATGCGTAGGGAAATTCTCCTGTTCAGACGCACCACCCTTCACAAAAGAAAACTGGAAATGTAGTGGGTGGAGGTAGTGCATCCTCCCCTCTGCATCTTTTCAGCACACATTCTTAATGACTGAATAGGGCCACTGACAAAGATTCTGCCCATATTTCAAGCACCCCAGGAGTGGAAAGACCTAGAAAAGTCCACAAGAAGTTGTCATGTGGTTATTCCTTCACAGGTCTTTTGGGGATCCAGCAGCAGCTAGGAAGGATACAAAGCACAACAGTATGTGGGAATTTATCGCACTCACTTTTACTAATGATCCAGGTATGGACTGGAGACGCACGTGACCAAGGGAAAATGGATTTTATCACACTTGAACCAGTCGGCAAGCCATCCCCATGCTGTCACTCGACCACAACCCTGAGCCACACTGAGCTGGCCAATTTTGCAAGGTTGGAATCAGCCGGCTCAGCAGGGTTTGGGGATGGATTGTGGTCAAGTGACAGCATGGGGATGGCTTGCTGACTGTTTCAAGTGCAATAAAATCTGTTTTCCCTTGGTCATGCACATCCTCAGCCTGTTCCCAGACTGTTAACAAAAATGAGCGCGATAAACTCCATAATCTGTCAATAAAAGAGCACACATCCTCCAGCCACTTTGTTAATTTAAAATGAGGTAAGCTCTGCAGTGCTACACTACAAGAAACTTGGGAAAGTTATTTTCTTAGCCTACAACACCAAGAATCCCCAGACAAAATTTACAAACAGTGGAACTGGGAATATGGATAGGTGTCACTATTGAACAAAGAGTAAATAAAGAGTGAAAACAATAATTACTTAGACATTTCTACAATATTTTCTCATTTTAGAGCTATTATACCTTTCCAATGCAGCCATAGTGGTTAGTGACATAATTATATAGTGTGAAAGGGCTTCAGGGAAGTCTCCTTAAGGTCAAGTGCCATAACTGGCTTGTCCTTCTCTCTTGCAGCCATCTACATCACTTCCTTTTGTGGGGACACCCAGAAGAGGGGCTACAAAAACGACCCAGTGTCCCTAGCACATTAATACACAACAGTAGACAACTGTAGCAGGTCTAAGAGCCAATTCCCTGCCCTGGGTCCCACATAGACTACCAAAAATGGAGGGGGGACACGGAAGTAGTCAATAGCTCACTTCTGATTGGGAAAAAAAATGCTTTTGGTCAACATTAAACATTGTGGGAGGGGGAGGTACTTCAACCTATTTAAAAAGGGAACCATTTGTTTGGCTAGAAAAAGGGAACACTGGGAAGTCTGAAGGAGATGAGTGTTGCAGAAAGTGGGGGGGGGGGTAGGTTGCATGTAGCCTCAGGACTACAGATTGCCCACCTCTGCTGTAGAGGCACAGAAGTCATTACTTTGCCTCTAGTCCCACTTTGCAAAGTGCCAGACTTTACCAATGTTCATAATGCAACATTAATTTGCATTATACATTATTACTGCAATCTGAAACAGTCTGGCATTCCTCAAATTAAATATGACTAGAGATGATACCCACAGATGATGCCCACAGATTAAATATGTTCAAATTAATGAACACCAAAATCTAAGCATTGGTGCAAAGCTACGGGAAATATTCTGTGGCAAATCAGTGAAATTTAGATAATTTTTATAAAGTATCCTTTCTACATTTTGTTTTGTGTTCTTCCCATATCCTACCAAAGAGACAGGAATATTGTGAATGTTTTGTTATTACACTCGTCCCTCCACATTTGTGGCTTTAACTTTTGCGGATTTGATTATTCACGGATTTTATTAATATATTCTCTCTAGGAATATCTAGGTCCTCCAGTGCAACTCTGTGGTCAACTTTAACCAAAAGTCGCACAGAAGGACCTAGAGATTCCTGGAGAGAAGACTCCACTAGGCATTTGTAGCTCCTCCAGTGCAATTCTATGGCCAGTGTATGACAGATGTTAACACTGCTCTTGCAAACACCTCTCCCCCAAGCTTTAAGACAATCTGAATATTCTGCTAAACAGGTTGATTCTGCTATTAACTTTTTTTTCCCAGGAGGCAAATGTATCCAGATGGATAAAATGGCCACCTCCAGATGGATAAAAAACACCAGAAGTCCTGACTTTTGTACCCATATTTCCCCATTTTATTTTGGAGACACACCATGACATTTCTTTCACCCTGAAATATTTCTTGGGAGCTCCTGGCATTACCAATAAATTTTCATTTACATACTCCAGGTTAATTTAAATTAGCCCAGTATTTCTTTTTTCAAATGAAATGTATCTGTACTTTCCTTGAGTGTTTCTACATTCTCAGAACAAGATTAGATGGCTTCTATACATGGATACAGTAATTGTTTTCAAGACACAGGTCCAGTTGATATCAAGTGAGGGGAAAAGGAATACTAGTATTAAAGCATAATGATCTAATGCTTAATTAGTGTAATGTTTGCACTTTGAGCATAACTCCTGAATACAAAAAGCACAGTGTAAATTGGTGAAAATCAGTTTCTGAAGTGTTGCATAAGACTGGATGTGTGACATGTGATCACTGGGAAATGCATGGGGAAGGTAATGAAAGGGAGGGAAGGAAACCAGCATATTTCATGAAAGAGACTGGGTACAACTTATGAATAAACGGATACAATTAAAACAAAAAAGAATTGGAAACTCTCAATACTTCCTGAAACTCCCCCACCTTTTTCTTGAGGCACTCTCCAAGGTACACTAACCTTCAAGTCAGAGCTGGAGAACACCTCCAGACGTTGCACTAAAACACCCCTCACCAATGGTTCTGTTGGCCTACGGTTAAGTAACGTCCATCAACACCTAAAAGGTCACTATTCTCACCTCTATCTAAGTCCACAGTAGTCTTCCATGAGGAAAATAAAAAGGTACATTAACAATGATGTTAATTTCATCCAGAGCTTTCTTGCAGTGGGAGCTGGCTACCACATAGCAGAATAACACAAGAGATGTTGTGCCTGGAGCTGCTGAATGACATGAAGCATTATTTGCCATTCATCATTGTGCTTCAGTTGGCCTGCCTGTGAAAATGTACAAGCACATGAGAAGTGACACATTATTTCAAAACTGGAATGCTGAAAGAATGAGAGGAAAATTCTATGTGAAAGGCAGAAAAAGACAAAAAAATAGATGCAATTCAATCAGAGACTGTACACAGAAAGGAAATTTACACTCTGGTGACAGCACCAGGATAGTAAGATTTTGGTGCCTCTCCAAAACAAGCTGTATAAAACTGAGCTGAGGAAACGAAGTTCACCAGATGTTGTTGGACTACAATTTTAATCATTCAGGAGGGCGGACTGGAGTCCAATGGTTTGAGGGCCAGAGGTTCTCCACCTATACAATAATGAAAGGCAATGAGTGCAGGCTACCCATGCACCACTCAAAAGAGGAGCCAAGAAACAGTGAAATGCTGCAAATAGCAAGAGGAGTTATGTTAAGAGAGGTATTTATGAGATTTCATATTATACGTTTATCTTACTGAAATATTTTTCAGTCCTGGCTTTTCATCTGGCTGATCTACTTTGAAAGAGCCAGCATGGCGTAATGGTTTAAGCATTGGACTGAGAATCTGGAGACCAGGGTTTAAATCCTTGCTTGGCCATGGAAACCAATCTTGCCAAGCAAATCCTGTAATAGAGTTGCCTTAGGGTCACCATAAGTTGGGGAAAAATTGAAAGCACACAATAACATCAACAATATACTTTGACAAGAATTATCTTGTTAAATAAAGTTATTTTCATTTAATTAGAAATGCCTTAAAACTCATGTTTCTGATTCTTCACATTAATCCAGAGCAGCAGTTGCATCAGAGACTTTTAGAAGTTCTTAAATGTGGGAACAAGAAATGCAAGTGCCATGCAGGCTTCCTCTTCCTCATGCTTCTCTATCACATGGATGTATAAACAATTCCTTCATCATTAGCTATGCATGTCATTGTATCTGTGTATAAAAATTCTATTTGGATTTTGGGAGAAAAATACAGTACTGGGTAAGGAAATGCACACAGGACAATGACACTCCTCCACATCCTCCAAAAAGACAAAAGTACATTCAAATTGTTCAGGAACTTTTTCTCTTGAAAAATAATTCTTCATTCTCCAGCTGGGGGGATGTTTTGGATTAAAAGAAGAGTAGGTGGCTTTGGATGTCTAAAGGCCACTTCCTGGGTCCACCACAGGCAGCACTAGCCTTTCCCATGCAACTAGAAATGATCAAAAGGTACATCAAGATAAGGAAGGTCAAGCTGAGAAAGAGTGACCAGTCTAAAATGACCCAGTGAGTTCACTGGATTTCACTTGGCTCCTCTAGGTCTAGCATTCTAATCGTTATACCTCCAATGGCTCACATACAGTTTGCTAGAGAGTTGTCTAAAAAGTGGTCTACCGTGTAAATATTCCACCATCACTAACCCTCAACTCAGTTTAGTGGGCCCTTTGAGAGGTCCAGGATGAGGCTGGGAAGACAAGTGAGAACAATCAGATGATATTTTGAAGCCTTACATTTTGCTAGATATCCCATGGTTTATCTGAAAGTAAATTTTGTGAAGTTATACAGTAGCCTACTGCCCAGTCCGGCACTTTCCAGATGTGTTGGGCTACAACTTCTATAACATTTTCTGAGCTACAAACTACTTGTGTAGCTGAAAGGGTTGTTCCCCCACTCTGGTTAAAAACAATTCTGCTTTTTTAAAGGGTGAGGTTGGGTGGTGGTGATGGTGGCTACAACATGGTTTGGGTAGGCATCTTTTTAGAAAGGAAAACTGAGCTCTCTATCAACTTCTGGAGATACAAGTCTGTCAGTTGTTGCCCCTGAAATGTGAGGTGGGAGGAAATAGGGTTCCTTGGGCCACATGTGTTCCAGGAACTATGCAATTCCCATGCCTGGATGTAAAATTCCATCACCCTGAACTATAACAGACAGGCACTGCCTAATATAGGGAGATACTGGACTGAGAAAGGCTAAGTGAGATGCTGAGTTTTCATTCCCCCCCCATTCGAAAAACAGGTTATAATAGAGAAGGCTAATTACACATACACAGATTGAAATAACCTGGAAGATAAATCAAGTCAACTATGTGAAGTCTAAGAGGAAAAGAGAAAAATATTCTAGTTGGGCTATGTTTGTGCATATATGCTAGATATGAAAACCATATATATCATAATATCAAAACATGAATACTAAATTAAAATAGCAACAAAAGATGAAATTACTTTCCTTAAGGAGAGAAATGTCCATGAACATTGCTCTTTCTGGCTGCAAAGCTATGAATATATAGTATATACACCTATTTGGAAGTAAGTACCACTGAACCCAAAGGGACCTGTTTCTGCATATACAAAAATATATTTATTTCATATAGAACTGGGCTCTTCTCATGTCTAGTGTGCATCCAGAGATGGGATGTATGTATGAGAATGAGGTCTGACTCTACACATTATCATCTATGGCTGATAACACAGACAAGTGCATGAACTGGAAAATATATTTGAGAAATTTCAGCCTACACAAAGACAAAGTGAAAGTTGTACATGGTTTCAGTGTTACATTCTGTAACTATACCAGTTAAGACTATGTTGTGTGAAGCAACCATTAATATATGATTTAAAAATAAAAATAAAAATAAAATAAAAATAAAGGATAATCTCTTCTGCTGATGGCTTGACTATGCAACATTATAGTTAAAGAGGTGGTGGTGGGAAAATCCCATTGTTCAATAGCTCTGCTATTGTCTGATGAATTGTTTAAACAATATTGGTACTACTTTAAAATGTGTAGAGATTCCTGTCTTTTTAGTTCAGTCTCAACATTATGTCACAGGAAGAGGACAAAAACCCTTTTAGTTAACAAATGGCATTTTTCAGAAAAAGAGACAATGGGCTTACGTTTGAAGTTTCTCGTTGTCTTGTTGTGAAGCCTCTAAAGCTTGCTGAAACTTTAATTCCATGTTTGTTCTCTCTTCTACTGTTTGCTGAAGCTGGGTTGCTAGCTCCTCATTCTGTAGAAGAAGCATGGATACAATGTCCTCCCTGTTCTTCAGAACTTTTTCATAAGTCAGAAGAGCAGAATTGAACTGATCTTTAAGGTTCACTTCTTGAGACAAAGATTGATGTAAGCTGACAAAAGAAAAATGAACACATTTCAGTGATGGGAAATACATGCCTAGAAAATTTAGTCCATAAAAATTGGCAAAAGATTTTTTTTAAAATGAATATATACAAAAATTCCACAACCAAAATATTCTAATATTAAATACAAACAGCAACACCAGAAGACAACTTGAAATGTCCATCCAATTAGAATCACAAAATCAATGGAAAGTTAGTATGTCAACACTTAAATAAGATTCATTGATGCAACCAATCTACTCTAATTGGAATTAACAATTGGATTTAAGCCAGTGACATTAAAATGAAATTAATGCAAAACTGAATTAATATTCTGTACATTGACACATGAACATGCAACATTCTTTACACTCCCTTATTGGATTCCCCTTATGACAAATTTATGAACCAGAAATTACCTTTAGACATTTTTTTTAAAAAGTTGTTATTGATGGGTGAGGGGAAAACCTCAGTTTTGATTATGTGCAAAGAACGTAGTACTGGCCAAGACCATAACATTTTATTACAGTCAAGGACATTTCTCAGGAACAGGGACGCAAGGATGCACTCTGGAACAGTTATATCTCCCAAGTTGAGTCACATTTTCTCAAGTTGCATGAAAAGAATATGCATATTCTACAAATGTGATTCTTAGGTGTAGGAATGGGCAAGGTGACTTATAACAAGAACTGCTGATGGATCAAAGAAAATGACTATTTGATTTAGCATCCTCTTACTACAAGTGCCTACAAGAAGCCTATCAGCAGGACAGGATGCAATAACATCCTTTCATCCTAGTAATGTTTACATAGAGGCATATTGCTCCCATTTCTGACAGTGGTATGTAGCCAATATGACCAGTAGCCATTGATTCCCTTATCCTCATGATTCCTCACTCACCACTCTTAGTGAGCATTTGAAGACAAATAGAATTTGAGCCTTAATGACTTCCCAATTGTTATTTTCAACTAATATATGCTGACTTCATCCATTGAACCAACTACTGAACAGTGAGTCAATACTTAGGTAAAAGTTTTAAAAGAAAGAGCTATGTTATTTGGTTACACCATAAAAACAAAAAGCAGGGCAAGGGCAAGAAGTAGGAGGAATTCAGCAGCACCTTTAAGACTAACTAACTTGTTTTAGCATGAGCTTTTGTGGATTTCATTTCACTTGTTCAGATACACTAATGGAGTAATATTAAAGCAATAAGTTTTAAAGTAGAGTCACATAGTTGTGGAATGACTTATAATAATATAAGATAACCCTCTCTGGATCAGAGCAAAGGCCTGTCGAGTCCTGCACCATGTTCTCAGAGTGACCAAGCAAATGCCTTTTACAACTATGTAACTGTAATTAAATACATGTGGCTGTAGTATTACTCCAATAGTGCATATGAAGAAATTGTTTGCTATCTATGGATCTTCATGCTAAAATACATTATTTAGTATCAAATCTGCAGCCAGATTCCTTTCCCTCTTTTCCTTTTCAACACTTATTTAAATCTCATTGATACAAAGAGTCTCCTTTAGTTGGGATTGGCAGTTATATTTTGGGCCAAGTATATGTGAACTGCATTTTCTCACAGTCATCCTTTATTACCTTTACCTCTCTCCTTGCCTCCCATTCTGTCTGAATTTGGTTTGTAAGCTCCTTGGGAAAATAACCTCTCTTTTTGTTATCATAACATGTCATGTACTACAAAAACAATGAATGGCAATAACAAAAGGCTACCAGTGGTATGCAAAAGACAATCTTTTCATGCAAATCCAAAGGATGACAGAAAGATAAACAAAACTACCTCCTCACAGATGGTTGTGGTGAAAAGTAGCAGATGCCGTGCCTTTTCTATGCGGCCCCACATTTGAACATGTTGTGAGCAATGACCTAAATACACAACTTTTCCAAGTTGCACAGCAGTCTACAAAAACTACTGTTACTTTTAAAATGTATTGCAAAGCTGTCATTCATTTAAGTTAAAATATTATTTTATGTTATGCAGACAGAAACAAAGTTCAAGTGATATTTAATGAAGACATGTGTTTATTTGATTCCACACAGAAAAACATTTTATATGCTTCCTTAGTGACCTGTTCTAAGGAACTCCCTACTGAAGGAGGGTGGATTGACTCCTTTCCTATTGTCTTTGCATCACCCAGCAAAGACTTTTCATATTCAGGTGGGTCTTTGGCAACTGACTTACCTCCTGCAGAAGGGGCTCTTAATAAATGGATGGATGCAATGTGTTATTTTCTTGGTATGTTTATAACATATCCGAGATGTTTTGATGTTTCCATTTTATACTTTGGTTATATTTGTTCTACTGTATATACTCATATGTAAGTCTAGAAATTTTTGTCAAAAAATTGACCCCAAAAAGCTGGGTGGGCTAATCCATGGGTCAATGTAAGTAGTGTATTTTAACTCTTCTCCTTCTTTGAGTAGAGTGGCAAAAGGTAAGAGTTTAGTTCATCCTGGGAGCACCCAAAAGCACCA